TATAATTATAATTTCCTTTCGATTTAATTGTTATGTTAACTAGCATTTAAGCCGGGCAAGGCCAGGTAATTTCTTCTAGCTACAAATAAAAGTGCTTAAGAACACTTAATTTAATTGAATATTCAGTTCTGCTTGGGCCAGCTTATGCGATATGAATGTGAGCTTAATGAGCAATCGGAGGTCCACTTGTCAGGCTGTCAAGAGATGCAAAAACACAAATAAACAAATAAAATAAAAAGGAGAAGCGAAATAAGTGAAATACTTTCCTTTAATTGCCGCTGCTGGCGGCTGTTTGTGTTGTATTTCGGCCTGATTTGTGTGTACTTGGCATAATTAAATTTTACCGGCCACAGCTGTTTGCCATTCTCATCTGGCGCGGTGCACGGATTTTTGTCTTTTGGATGTAAGCCAATTTCAAATAGACCATAAAATACACAAGAAGCCGGCCGCACGTTCTATATGCTGCAGCGATTGCTCTCCAGTTGTTGTTGTTTTCCCATTCAATTACAACTGCGGGCGGGCGTATTTATTATGAGCTTTAATTGCTTTCGCAAAATTTACAAATGAGTTTTCACTTAACTCTATGCAACTATTTTGTTTGGGCATTTAAATCTGAAACGAAGTGTAAATTATGGCCAGCACTAAACACTCAAAAAGATCATTTCTTGAATCGCCTCGAAACTATCTTACAAATTCGAACGCGTCACATTGTTTTAAACTATTTAATATATTTTTTTGTTTTTGTAATATGCGTTCTATTTAATTATTTTTCATTAATGCGCAGCACATGAAATGCAAGCTGAAATATCTGGCATTCAAAATTTTGCATTCAGACAAATTATTTTTCTAATCGGCCAACATGGCGTATGCGCAATCAAATTCTAAAATAAATCAAGTAACAAGCCTAACGATTGCATTTAAATTTATTCACGATTTACATTAATTAAAATAGACAACAAATAGGCTTATTTGGCTGAATAAAAGCTGATGAAATAGCCAAATCCAATCACTGTGTAGCTGAATCTGGCTAACATGGCGTATGAGCTATGCTTGTTTTTCTTCAATGCAGAGTCTATTATTAAAATTGTGTTGTAATTTGTAACCTTATCATGACATATATATTCCCTATAAAGCTGTGTATCTGTTCTTTGTTCGACGAGTGATTCACGAAACTCAATCAAACGGTAAGTTGATAATTTATAATCAAATCAAATCATAATCGAAAATGTCCAAATCAATTTGTGTGTGAATTGAGTGCATGGAACATCAGCTCGAAGACAAACGACTGTCAAATTGCATTATTTATGACGTTTAATTGAAACACTTTGCAGTTCTCATAGCAAACGTCACTTTGATGTCAACTACTCTTCTAGATAAGTACAGTGAAGGCTAACTGGAGTGAACAGGCACAGTTGCAGTAGTCTGCCTTGCCTAAAGCTAACTTGAATAACTCTTGTATTTATTGTCTGGTCCGTATGGCAATTTGGCTTAGCTTCTTGCTGAGCAGAGTCGGAACGTCGCACGACGAAGTCCGTGCAGGCTAAGTGTTCACTGTAGTTGCACTACGCAGCGAAATGGTCTTATCGGCACTGGGGAAACACCCGACCAGGTCGGCCAGCTCTGTCAGCTGACCAATGAAAGCGTTAAAACAACTCGCCGCTAATCGTGGCCAATAAATTCTTTGCAGCTCGTTTATCTCGAGTGAGTTCATAAAAATCACAACTTTGATTTGCGGCCAGACATTTGAGGCGATGTGTGCGATGTGTGCCATTGTCCGGCTGGCAACCTCTGTCAGTTGTCTTCTTAATTAATCGCTAAAAATATTCACAATTGCCGGACTCCGTCTGCGTGTGCTTGTGTGTGATCTACCCCATCATTATCTTATCTGGAGAGCTGAGTAATTGTCTTCAGCCGCTGTCTCTTTGCGTCGGCCAAGCGCCAGGCAAGCTGCGTGTGCTTTTTGAAGCTAATTTTTCTATTAACAGACCACACACAAATATATATGCCGAAGTGGGGACTGATCGACTATGTAATACCTATGCATTTTATGTAAAAACTTATCTATATACAACATCAAACTATATGCACTGATTGACTGACTGATTGATTGATTGATTAATTGACTTACTGATTGACCGACTGTGCTTATGAATGACTGACTGGAGTAACTGATTGACTCACTGACTTAATGTTTGATTGATTCATTTACCATCTCACTGACTAATGGACCAACTGACTGAATGATTGACGAAATAATAAATACGGGCTGGCTGGCTAGTAGACTGACTGTTTGATTGATCGATTGACTGACAACTTCACTAACTCATAGACTGCTTTTTTGATTGATTGATTGACGAACTATTTTATTGAGTGACTGACAAGAAGATAAACCAATTGATGATTGGTTGAAAGATTAACCGACTAATTAAATAACTGACTGAATGATCGATTGCTTGATTGATTGATCAACTGACCAATTGAATAACAGACTGACTAATATATTGACTGATGACAATATTCTTTCGTGAAGTTTTATGTGATTGACGTAAAACACATTTCCAAACAACTTTGTGGAGATGCGATATGAGGAAATTGGTAAACAGATCGGAGCTGAGCCGCACACAACTTAATTTTAAATGGACACCCATTATTATTAAAATCAAAGAGCATTATTAAAGCCAATCAAGCCCATTTAAACCAAACGTATGCAGAGTATGCGAAAGTTGTCGCGTGCTCGTAACCAGAAATTTCTTCTTATAGAAGCTCCTTTATTGCCGCATAAAAAGCATACAGCTCTTTATCTGACTACATTTTAAATAAAAATAATCTAAATTTAGCTAATACTTTAATTAGCCAATTCAAGTAATTTTAGACAAACGCACGTGATGAACCCAGTTTTTATGGCTCGTGCATTTCGATGATATAAGAAATAAAAATAGAAACGCGTTCTATTTAATTTAATAAAAATGCTTGTTATATTATTATTGTGAATTAGATCAGCTATAAGAGCACCGAACTTTGTTGGCCATTGAAATTTTGGAGATAAGTTTTCAAGTTTCTTCCATTCCTTTAATAGAAAACAAAATCATTTCCAAAGTTAGATCTTTGCGCTTGCATATTTGTGCCCTGAACATTTCATAATGATCGGACTGCAAGCTCCGAAGCTTGGCGCTGATTATAGGGTATTTCTCAGCCGACTAGAGCTCTCTCACTTATTTTGATTTATTATTTATGTAAGTTCCCAGCTCTAAATATAAACCAATCGCAGAAGGCACTTAAACTCACAGTCGCGACAACTAGCATAAAGACTGATCCAAGGATATTCCTGTGCTTGATTTATGCATTTATATGGTATGTGCAAATTTTCAGAATGCTTCCTAATATAAGGAAGCCTTTGTGCATTTGAATGATGTGGAAGTGTTTTGAAATGTTTTAACAATTGTTTGGCAATCGCAAATCTGTCACATGCTTTCAGACACGTGACATTGCACAAAATTGCGGGCGTGCCATAAATAAAATGTTCTAGCGCATTACGCATGGACCTGTCAGAAAAGTTATCAATATGACGACTGCTGTCACCGCGGGCGGGATATTAACTTATTTCCCCGCTAACGGTTAATTACACTATTATTTAGTATACCCTGTCTGCAGGCAACATGTCAGTCAATAAGTGACGGCTGTCCAATGGCCTTATCTAACTGGTAAAAGTGTCATCGGTGGCGCCTCACGTGGAGTTGCCGAAGGCAATGAATTGTTCTTTGGCTAGCTTTGGGCAACAACTTGAGTTGAATGAGAAGATACGAGTAGGTAATAATTTCGGTCATCATTTCTTTAGCAGAAAATAAAGAATAATTTTTGTAATAAAACTCCTTCTTACAACATTCAAACATCGCCCTTCTATGCAATTCTCACGTTATTGTTCGCGTTATTTAACAAGCTTAGCTGACAACATGAATTTATTAATTTTATTGCGCAAGGTCATTTCTATATATTAAATGTTATCTATATTCTTCTAATAATTACATTCATAAATTAATAAAAATATATGCCATATACAAGACAAGGGTTATCTCCTAGTTTAATGTAAATATGAATTCAAGTACAAATTATGCTAATTGTATTTTAAAGTCAGGCAACAAGATATAACTCAGATGTATGATATAGTCAAGTTCATTTCTCTATATAAAAAAAAAATTAAATACATATATATTTTAATTGCAAACACATTTCAATTTATGCTGTTGTCAAATTTTGATTTTCTCACCTGAACGCAACTGGACGCAATTAGCTTTAAGATGTTCTAAAGTTGCAATGGGAATAGACATATAGTAAATCGACACACACACTTAGATCACAGCGCGCCGTTAACGAGTTGTTATTGTTCTGGCATAATTAGAATAGACACAATGTCGAGACATTAGCGACAATTCAACGCGCCAAGAATTATGAACTTGATTACTGAATACAAATTGTTTGATATTTACGACCGTAAACAAAGTAAGTTTATTTGCATAGCATATCTTAGCCAAGAAATCGAATTCACAATAAATTGCAATATTTGCTTTTTCAAGTCGCTGCCAAAGTAATAATGTCGAGCGACCGAACGCAACAAGGAAACTGAATTAACTAAGAAGTAAACAGCAACAGGTCGACCAGCATCCGGCGTCAAGCGCATGTGCAGAGTGGCAGAGTGCTACCAATAATTATAGTAACAATATTTAACAAATTTGAGCAATAAAAAGAAACTAAAAGCATATTGTTTAGTTAAATATATTTTATTTGTTGCTAAGTGTTCAAAAGTATAAACATTTTCAAATTACGCACATTTGGCGCCTTAAAAGATGTGCACAATATTGCCAGATTGACAAAAAAAGAGCTACAGCAACTAGGTGGCAACGCTCTGTGCACGCGCACACAATGACGCACGCGTTACGCGTTACCTTAGCGCGCATTCAAATAAATACGTAAAACAAGTAAACTTTGAAAATTAGTTTATTGTGCTTGTAACTCGACAATCGCTTTTTGAAATATATTCATAATATAACAAATATCCAGAATATTCATAAGTAATAACGCATAATGTCGCAGAGCTTTCTGTTTAATATCGAAAGCGGCTACTTGGAAGGCCTGGTGCGCGGCTTTAAGAACGGTCTATTGAAACAATCCGATTATCTTAATCTAACACAATGCGAAACGCTGCAGGATCTTCTGCTGAATATACAAAACACGGACTATGGTCACATATTGACCCACGAAAACGAAGTGCCAAATGTGGAACTGATTGAGAGGCGTATGCGGGAGAGGATTGTAGTTGAATACAATTATATGCGTGTCAATTCGTCAGAACCGTTGAGCACATTTCTGGACTATATACGATATGAGCATATGATAGATAATATTGCGCTGCTAATGGCGGGCCTAAGCAATCGTCGGCCCATGAGAAAACTGCTGCCCTTGTGCCATCCGTTGGGTCTGTTCGATCAATTGGAGGCCATCGAAGTGGCCAGCAACATAGATGAGCTATTCAATAGCGTGTTAATCGATACGCCGATATCGAAATATGCATCGCAGCACTTTGATAAGATGGCATTACACAATACCGATGTGGAGATCCAGCGCAGCATCATATACAAATCCTATCTGGAGGACTTTTATAAATTCTGCAAGAAATTGGGCGGCACCACGGCTGAAGTTATGTGCAATATCTTAGGCTTTGAGGCGGATCGTCGCACCATTGTGATTGCAGTGAACTCTCTATCCACGGATATGCAACCGAAGATACGGGAAAGTCTATTCCCCACCTGCGGCAAGCTCGGTCCAGTTGTGAGGAAACTATTGGCCAGCAGTACCGACTTCGAGCAAGTGCGTTTAACCGTCAGCAAGTTCGTGACCTATGCCGGCGTGTTCAACAACATTGAGAGAGATACGGACAATCTGATCACCTTGGATGATCGTTTCCTGATGCTGGAGGCCAAAATGCATGTCAATTCGTTTTTGCAGCAATTCCACTATGGCATCTTCTACTCCTACCTCAAGTTGAAGGAGCTCGAGTGCCGCAACATCGTTTGGATTGCCGAGTGCATTTCGCAGCGACAAAATGACAAGATCAATGCCTATATACCCATACCGATTTACTAAGATGTGTGTGTCGAGAAGAGGATTGTCGATAAAAAAAAATGTGTTCTCTTAATCACCAAATAAAAAAATTCTGTTCAATATATTATTATTATTTTTATGTGTGTTATATTTGCCAAGGATTGAATTTAAACGAAATTGTAAAACCGAAACCAAGAAAGAGCTAGAAAAGAGAAAATAAAGGACTTAGTTAAGAAATCATTTCCCCATTTCCACCAAGGGGAAATGTATTTTTCGAAAAGTGTGAAACTTCCCTCAAGTGAATTTGAACAAGGATCTTTGGAAATGACTTTCAGGCGGATCGGATAATGAACAAAAAAAGGCTTTGCGAATGAAATTTCAAACAGACTGACAAACTGATTTCTATATAAAGATTATATAATCTCAATACTTGATGGGATGGAAATTTTCTATGCATGGCAAGCTTTGTGCCAAAACTTATAAAGTTTGCAAAATTATTTTAATCAACTAATCAAAAAGTTGAAATTCCTACATAATCTAACCAATGAAGACCGAAGACCGAAGCACTTTAAACAAGCGACGGGCGTAAATTCATAATTATCTGAATTGGCGAATATATTTGAAATAACAATAGAGCTCAGTTCGAGATAGCGCCTGGTATTGAAATACATAAAGGTATTTGTTTTTTTTTTTTTTTTTTACTTATTTTTTATTGCTCAATTTCCCAAATCCACGAAAGCCTAGCGACAAAATCAGCTGAGTCGCGAAACATACTCGGCGGGCATTTCAGCAGCAGGTTCTGAGTTTTCTTTATTTTTTCGCAAAACTCAGTTTCAATTCGTGATTCTAGCTCGCTAGTTGTGCCAAGATATAACAACGTAACCGAATGAATCATCTTCGTTTGTTGTCGTGAATGCTTAAATATACATACATACATGTATGTACGTACATACATTCTTTCATTTTTCCACTTCGTCTCTGCCGTAGTCTCTGTGTGTGTGTGTTTAACTTTTTTTATCAACAAAAACTATTTGTAGCTCAATATAATATAGCGGTAATAAGTCTGTAAATGATACTTGTGCCCACATACATACATACATACATGTATGCACACACACACACACATATTTACATATACAATAATACAGATACAATTTCGCTTTAGCCAGAAAACTTTGTAAATGCAAAAGCAACGCTTTTCCGCATTTTTCCGCGAGTTCAAATTTCCTGTTCTTGCTGCTGAGCGCATCTCCCTGACCCGCACCCCCCCCCCCCTTTCTTCTTTCATCTGTTCCGGATGCTAGAGCATTCTTTTGGGTTACTTTACTCTCAATACTTGTAAATCTCGTTTGCCGTTTGGCTACAACCTGAAATTGGCCAACGCAAATTGTCAATTGAATTCTGGGAATTACAATTTTACAAAAATTACAAAACTGCTACAAAAACAAAAAAAAAAAGGAGAATATGAAATGAAATGTTTAATTTATTGAGCGCACAAATTGCATTTGTGCTTTTATGAAAATCATCTGCATGAATTGGTTTCCCACTATTTACGTCAGAATTCCAACAGATATGCGCTGCCATTCCCAGTCAAACTCACAATCTCAATACAACAACTAGCAAACCTTTCCATAACCATTATTTGTGCCATTCCGAAATATAACGACAAGGTATTGTTTTATATACATATACATATACATAACATATACATATGGATGTGCAAAGGTATTTGTGCACATGCACGAACGAACGGCTTATACATATATGTACGTATATTGATGTATGTATGTACGCTTAGCGAGTATATAGTTTGTTTTTGTAGGCTTTCGTTGCTTTTGAATTTTTGAGTTTCGCAGTATTGAAATCGTGGTGGTGGTTGTTGGTTGAAATTCTGTTCTGCTTCCTCTTCATATTGCTGAGAGTGAGCGGGCTCTCTTGCTCTCGCTCTCCTCGTGTGCGTGTAAGTGTGCGTGTGTGTGTCTGTGTGTGTGTTTTGTTGTTCGGCAAGGTGTTTGCGTTGCTGAGTTGAAAAATAGTTAAGTTATATGATTATTAAAAAACCGTGAGCGCAGCTAAATTCAAACTCTGAATATTTACACAACGATTCAGATGATTGGAATTGCTATTGTCAGTTATTAAATGCATATATTTTATGTGTTATATGAAGCTGCAGCATTTGGTTTGTTTAATGTAATTAACGTTTTTTTACTCTTCTACTCTTTTCTTGAAAAATTCTCAACATAATAAGCGTAAATTTGTGCCGCGCGTGTGTGTGTGTGTGTGTGTGTGTGTGTGTTCGTGAGACAACGCAGCGCTCCCTTGATTTTCGTGCGCTAGTTGCGCTCTCGCGTTTCATATCTTTTCCACATTACAGTGGGGCATAGGAAATCTGAGTTAAATATGTAAATACTCTTATTGTGCATAAGCACAAATATATTTTTCAACTAGTTAAATCTGTTAATATTGAGATCATAGTCAATCGATTATTATTAAATGAAATGTTGAATAACTTTTAAACACAGATATTTTCAACCGGCTTTCAATTAGTTTGTGCCCACTGTAGCCTCTCAATCTTTAGTGCAAGTTTTGGACAGCTGGAAAATTACTCAGCTTAAGCGCACAAATTGTGATTTGAGTTTCGAATTCAGATATTGTGTTCTCCCAGCTCAACAGCCCCTCCGTTGAAATCCATACATTCAACACTTTTAATTGAATAAAAACTTAAAGAGGGTTTTTTTTTTCCATGCATTGTGTTTCAGTTTCAGCTTCAGCTTCTTCGAATATCATTACGCATCTGTCGGGAACTCAAGTCTCAATTTTTTTCTCTTTATATGTGTATGTACATATATATTTACATATATATTTATGTTTGCATGTGTGCACATAAATACGCAGTTACAAACATAATAACACTTCATTTCGAAAAAGAAAAGTGACGAAATCTTTGTACCCCAAGTGCTCCACTCGCTCGTAATCGTATTTGGCATGTTTATTAACATTTTAAAATCGTTTACTCACTATCTCTAAATTTAGTTTATGTGTGCGTGTGTGCGTGTATGTGTGTGTGTGTGTATTTGAGAGCTTAACATTGTGCTTGCGTGTGTGTGTGTGTGTGTGTGTGTGTGTGTGCACGTTTATTCTTTTACCTTCCCTTTGTCGTTTATATTTCGTATTGAAATTTGTAATCAAAATCGATAAAAAATATATATATATATTTATTTGCCTATTTAGATTTCTTTGTATTTGTAAACTGAGAACGTATCGCATATGTATTTATATATGTATATGTACATATGTACCTATTATGGGTTTCGAAGTGTTGTTCTCATTTGTCAGATATGGGTTTCGAGTAGGAAAAATACGAAAAGTAAATACGAAACAGCAGGGTGAATTGACAGCTCGGCCCGATACAATTTTTTATTATTCAGTATTTGTTTAAGTGGTTTGAAAATCTGGTTAAGTAAGTTTTTCTAAATATTCGAAGCAGCTGCGATTTTCAATTGTATTATTAAAGTTTCAACCAAAACTAATTATTTCAAAAAAATATATACATTTTTAATGTGAAAATCCGGTTTTTGAGTTTTGAGTTTTTAGTTTTTTAAGTTTAAGGGAACACGGCACAACTAATATTTCTGCTGGTTCAACTCTTTTTTTTTTTGCTTTTAGATTTTTACCCAAGTACCTAAGACCAATAAATAAATAAAAGCCAGATCGATGTTGATGCCGCGGTATTCCGAGCAGGACAGCCATAGCGATAATAGTTTTGCTGGTACGCACGGCCACGCCTCCACCACGGTGGCCGCCCACACGAAAATGCGTTTGCTTAGCAAAGTGGAGCAAAACATGCGCCAGAATCAACAGACTAATCCGAATCAGAATTCAGGCCAAAATCAAAGCATCAACAAGCTAATCCATACCGCCGCCACGGGCAACGGTCTAGTGGGCGATGTGGACGAGCTACTGACGCCCATGCGCATTAAGGCTCAGGCGCCGCCAGCCATGACAGGCGGCATCGCCAATGGGAGTGGCAGTGGCTGCAGCAGCGCCAGCGAAAGCGGTGGCAAGGAGACGCATTCACGACCCGAGCGCAACCTGTGGAGCCGTGCCGAGATGCTCGAGATGCTGAATATAATGCAAGAGATGAACGCCCTGGAACAGCTGAACGATCGTAACGTGAAGAGCGAGCATGTTTTCCGCCAGATCGAAGAGGTGATGCGCAGCAAGGGCTATGTGAAAAAGTCCAGCATACAGATCTGGACCAAGTGGAAGTTCCTCAAGTCGACATACAACACGACAACCCGGCACGGCAATGGTATACCGAAAGTGGTCCCGGAGGAGGTTTACCGTGTGCTCTGCCGCATGCTGCGCGAGCATGCGAGTGTCTGTGGCAGTATCAGTGGCATAAGCAGTGAATGCGGCAACTCCAGGGATAGCTACAATGCAGAGGTCGGTAGAATTTTGCCCAATAATGATGATGGCGGCAAGGAGGAGCTGGGCGTGGAGCATCCCATTTTTGGTTTTCGCTTGGGACTGATCAAGCCGGAGCCGCTGGATACGGGTGAGTGCATCTATTTAAAAGTCTAAGAGAATACATAATTATATATATATATATCATGTTGCGACACTCTCGCAGGCTACGAGACGACGGTAAACCATGCCAACTCAAGCGAGCAGGAGTTGGAAGCCGTGAACTTTGGTCAAATGGATGACCAGACACAGTCATTGGAGCACACACCTTTCATGATGAATGTGAAGCACGAACCTGAGATGGATTTGGGCATGGATAGCACCAATACGCCACCGCCAACGGCGCCAACTTCGCCCTCGCCGCCGCCAACTAGCCAGCAGGAACAGCGAGAACTGGGTGATAAGTCACCATTATATCCAACCAAGTCACAGCCGGTATCAATGCCGCCGCTGCGCGTTGCCGCCTTTGCAAATGATGCACAGCGTCAGGCCACGTCGACGCCAACGCATGGCATTCTCCAAATCGAACGACCTGTAGCTCCACTCGGCAAATCCATTCAAAATGGTGGTCCTGGTCGGGGCAATCGCACCATGCCGCTGCACAGCACTAGCAGCATCAATTTCGTGCATCCCACCAGCAAATTGATGCTGCCCCGCAAGCAGCTGCCAATGCGCATTCCCCGGGAGATAAGTGTGCAGCCAGCGAATACGCGACCGCTTAAACCTGTGCCTATGCGCGAGACGGGCTATTCGCTGCGTCCGGATCGCATGATACCCGATCTGGAGCAGTCTATATCGCCGCCACAATCGCCTTCGCCGCCTGTGCACAGCCAGCTGGTACCGAAATATAACAATCCGCATGCCTCAACCAGCCGACAGGCGCAGCTGCTTAGCGAACAGCAGCAGCAACAGCCACTGCGCAAGCGGCGTCTGCAATTTCCCCAACAAACAACGCCTGTGCCCGTCAAGCTGCAGCGAAGCTCCATGCTCTTTGAGAACAACAAGCAGAATAACAGTTTTGAGAATGAGGATGAGTCCGCGGCAGAGGAACACAAAAGCAAACTGCTCGCCGAGGAGGCGAAGCGGCGCAAGGAGCAGCAGGACGAGGTGTTTAAAAAGGAGCTTACCCAGCTGGCCAGTGCTGTGCGGCAGGCGCAGAAAGAGATGCTTCAAAATTTCTTTCAGCAGCAAAAGCAGTTCGCGCGTCGTGAGCACGAGTTCCAGCTGAAGCAGGACAATTTGGTAATGGGTGCATTGCGCAAACAGACGGATGCTCTGCTGCGCACAGCCAAACAACTAATGCAGTCCGAGAAGGAGGAGGAGGAGGAGGAGGTAAAAGGGTGCTCGTTGGCCTCTGAAACAGAACAGCAGCAGCAGCAAACAGAGGACAGATCAAGCAATATTCTGTTGCTGCAGCCTGAAATAGAGCTGCAGGAGGAGTTCCGAAATCATGAGAATGAGGAAACGTTGCAAGTTCAAGATCATGTGCATGGTCATGACAATGATAAGGATCATGATCATGACCATGGCTGCATCCAGCCTCACGAACAGTTCGAGGAGGAAGCACAATACAACAGCGAGGGAAACCAGAGCGAAGCTGCTATGGAAGCGTCCACGTCCGCTGACAGCGAAGATGCCGGCAGCGAGGATACCTCAAGTCAGAGCGCCAGCCCGAGCGAAGCACAAATATGTTAAAATATTATCCCTAGAATCAAGTATTATCACAAGAAGTCTACAATTTTGTTATTCCTAATGCCTGAAACAATTAACATTCCAAAATACATTCCTTAATTTTGAAAAAATACGTAATTATGTAAATAAAAATATATATATATATATGTATACATATTCCTAGAGCAAAGCCCACATTGTTAAAAGACTTGATTATATTTAAGCATTAAGAAATGTAAAAAAAAAAAATGATAAATAAAATGTATTTATTGTTCTAGTAGTCCGAATGGGGCATATCGCGATTGCTTGTGCTATTAAAGCTATTGAAACATCAAAATGTACGCATGCAAAGCGATATTACGCAATATCGAAATAGAATCAGAGATGGAAACCGTATATTATATTCAGAAACTTAAATTGAAGAGAAAAGTACTTTTTGTTTACTCACAATTAGGGCGTATCAACTATGGCAGATATTATCCAGGCACCATTTAATGAATAGTTGAACATCATTAAATGATATCTCGATATAGGGGGCAATTATCAAGGGATTCGCATCCAAGGAATATGAATTGTTTATGTAAAGATATTAGATATCAAAATCTTAAACTAAGAGTACCAAATATCGGCTTCCATTTCCGTATTTCGCATACCTCAATGCAGTAAAAGCTCAAGAATCAATTTCAAATGTTCTTAACAAGAATTGTATTTAGTATTGCAGTATTCGAAACAATATTCAAATTTAAGAATTAAACAAAAAATGAAAACGCCCTAAACTAGCATGAAATCAATTGTTCTTATTAGCTATATATTCCTTCAAAAATTTGTTTAAGCTAAATACTACATATAACTAGCACTAGCTTAACACGTGTGTGTGTGTGTATGTTTCACTAAACTAGTTCTGTTTAGTTGTTGCACAAGAGTAAACGCCTAAAGCATAATTATTAATTATTACTTATTAGTTGCTAGTTTTTGTTTTTGTTGTTCTTGTTTTTGTATATTACAATTACGATTATAGGCTCCCCCAAAATTCCCCCTCCCATATAATTGCCCCAACGACTGCAACGATCCACACTGCATACCCATCCAATCTAGTCAGGCCGATAGATGGGCGTCTTGGGTATAAATTCAATTAATATAACATACTCCATCATGGAATTGGAATCACATTGTTGCTTATGTAAACGCCAGTGTAGGCCTAGCTTATGATATAAATGACTATTCTCCCACTCGAGCAGCTTGTCCAGTGTCAATTGTGTCTGCAAGCAAGAATCAAATTTGTTAATATCGAGTGCCAAAATGCATAAAAGAACAAACTGTTATCAAGCGTCTCTTACGCGTTTGCTCAGACATATGACCGGCCAAAGCGAGCAGCCCAGTGTGCAGCAGCAACAGACGCAGCCGCAAAAGAGCCACTTGACATTCAGGGGCAGGGTCTTCTTCAATATGCCATTGATGCGACCGATGGTCGCTTTGAATTCCTCGGGCGCCACACGTGACAGCAAACCGCAGGGGAATTCAACATTAAAGCGATTGCTGAGACCAAAGCTGCAAAGCCAGAAAAGAGAAATAAATTACAATGGCTGCTACACGTAAAGCTTACAAGTATTATCTATTACAGCTACAGTCTAGATTTTTAATTGTGTTATGCAATCAGTAAGTCTGTCAATAATTGGGCGCCAAATGGCACAGGGTCAAACGCACTGGCTGCGCGCCTGCTATCAATATAAACAAAACAAACGTGCGCCCAAAAACAGAATTTAGCTATCAAAAGCCTTGAGCTACATTGAGAACTAATGCATATGCACGTGTGCGTGTGTGGGTGTGTGTGTGTGCGCATGTGTTTATTTATTATATCGTTTACTTACACCGTCATATTGCCCGCGCCTCGTATGATAATGGGCTCGGGCACTGGCATCACTGTCTGATCCTGGAAATGCTCCAAATCATCCAGCTGTTCATCCTCGTAGATGGCATCGAAGTCGGAAAAAGACATTTTTACGATCTCTTTTGTTTCTTGTTGTTTTTATGTTGATTATGATGATGGGCGGTTGGCGGCGACGATCTGTGCGTCACAGAGAAACAGTATCCAAACGCTAGCAACAGATATCAGCACATTTTTGATTTGACATTTGGGTGCGTTATTGTGATTGTATGTGTGCCACGGCTGGCTTTCGAATAAAATCTCAGTCTGAATGTTGGGCCTTCAGTATGATTGTTGTTCGCTCGGGACTCAAAATAAGCGCCGCCGTCTTTGTTGTTACTGTTATACTGCTGCTGTCGCTGCTTCCGCCATACGCGTTGGCGTTAACTGCGCTGCGGCGGGTACTGATACGAGCTGTGACGTTGACTTCCTTTATTGCGTTGCATTCAAAAATGAAGGCACATAAATGAAATATATGTATTATTAAACTGAAGACAAAACAATAATCGAGTTGATGTAAGTAATGTGCTTGTGTGCGCATCAGCTAGCGATTTTTCTCAAGGTTGTGCAACACTGGCGTCCGTCTGCTCTGTTATAAGTTGTTGTTGCTATTGCTACTCCCGTAGTGGGGGGGCCAATGCTGCTATGTGCAGTCGTTTTTCTTTGCTGCGTATTTCGCAATCACTTTTTCAACTATTGCTCACAATTGTAAACCTAAGTCGTGCACATTTCATATGTGCAGACTTATTTTTAGCACTTTGCTGTTTTCAAAGCAATTTAAAAGTGTTTGCCCGAATTACACTCTTTTATTTTGTTTTTTTAATACCGAAAATATGTTCCCTGCTTAATATTTGTCGTCGCGAGACGAGCAGCTAGCAGCTGTTCGTTATATAGGGTTGCCCAACTGTCGCAAAAAAGTGAGAAGTCACATTCAAACGTGAGAATGACCAGCGGGTTAATATTGATTTATTAATTAGCTACATTTAAAAATAATTAAAGTGTATAATTATATATAATTATAATATATATAAATATATATGTATATAGCACATATAAGCGTATGTTCTAACTAATAATAAAAAATATTGTGCACAAATTCGACAGATTAGCAAACACCAATTAATTTGCAGCATTAACACAAGCATTAATGTAAAAATGACAAGGCATATTTCGAGAGTGGGTCACGTCCGTCGTCTACTTCTTTTTCGATGCACTTGGACTGGTCGATTGGAAGACCGAGGAGGCGGACATTAGATTCTCAATATATTGACCAAGCACTTGATTCTCGGAACGCAATTTAAGATTTTCCTCCTTAACAGAGTCCACCCGCTGTGACAAATCATCCAATGTGTTTTGCAACTCCAAGACTTGGGTAATTAACCGAGATTTCTCCTGTACGTCATCGGGTCCCACGTCCAGCGTGTCAAGTGAATTGTGGGAGGAATCCGGCGTTGAGCTTTGATTGGTAAACGAAGACCGCAGCGAGTCCATAGACCGGCCATTCGCGATGTTTTGAGTAGTTGAGGGTTCATCTTCGTTGATAATAACTGGAGGGGAGTCAATAAGTTATTACTCTTTCCACAGCCGGACGCGCCCAACGCGTCGACATTTGCACTAACGCTGTACTCACCCTGAGGATCTTCATCAATCGCCATTATATTGTCATCGTTGTTAATTATTGACATGCTTAACGATCTGCTTACAACGGGGCAGCGATTAATTAACTTTAATTTTTATTTTTTTACAAGAAATTACACGGAAAACTAAACTACCACTTTTTGGTTAAATACGCGCTGTTTCACACTAGCTTTGCATCATTTTTCAACACTGAAACATTTAAGTATGAATTGAAAGAAGAAGCATAATTGCTAACATAAGATTATATGTACATATGTAGGAATTTAAATCTGCGATTATATTATATTAAATATTAAAAAGTGAATTTTATTTGATTTGAATAATATTTTACTAATACTTCTGAGCATTTCATTTCGTTTTGAAGGGGCTAGAACAATAAATCGAAACATTTACAACTATTGCTGCCGATTTGCATTTTATAGCTTCGTTAAGTTTAAAACTCCTAAATAAATGAAGCGTTAGCTTACTTAAGCATAGTTTAGTCATAACAATATATAAATTAAGTAAAATTGACTTAAAAGTCAACACATTTTTTTTACGTTGTTTTAAATATAACCGACGTGAGCAAGTTGTTGCTGCAGAGTTGTCACCTGAGCAGCATTCGATCGACGAATTAAAATACACACGCATGCTTTTTGCCATTATAGTTTTTAACGTTGCACTGAAAACAACTCTTTAAGTACCTAAAGTTAAAAGCAATAATTAGGAAGTTGTGATTAATATAAAACAAAAAGCTGATAATGTGCAAAAAAGCACTTGTCCATCCATATATTTGTATTTGGAGTGTTTCTTTATAATACAAGAACAGTTAGCATTTGCGTAAAGTATATTGAATACTTTGTCATATAGCTGGATAAAACCTTGTTATTTGCCCACAACACTCATACAGGTATTACATTGCCAAAATATATAAGTTAATAATATATAGCTTAATGTTTTCCCACTTGTTTCAGTTCTGGGAGTTCTCACCACCAGGAAACAGCGGTCTAAAAGTTCATGCTGTTTGTGCACGGTCAACTTCAATTCGAAAATCAAAGGTAATCTTTTGTTTAAGTTTTACATCATCTAACTGTTAAACTAAATGCAAAATTAAAGTATGCTTTTGGCATAATAAGCAAAGCCCAGATAAGGTATGTATGCACATACATATGTATATACATATGTATGACATTGGCATCACCATTCGCATACACATACGTAACAACTTTAAAATTAACAACCTTAAGTAATTTAGGTAAGGATGCAAACTCATTGGGCATATGCCCAGTACAAGTGAATGGGCTATTAATAAATTTTGTAAATGTTTTCTAAGCAAATATGAATCTGCATGCAGCATACCTAAAAATGATATCAATATTCAATATGCGAGCTGCCAACTTTGCCAAAAAAATGCGTTGTCAAACAGGCGCGCAAACTAACGGCATGATATTATTAAATGAAGCTATGAATTTTGCATGTACATGACTAGTTTCTTAAAAAAATTGATCTATACGTATTTGTTAACCATTTTCGATCATTTTAGGGCATACCAAACGACGTCATAACTGAAAAGATTTTTAAATCGAGAAACTGCGCGGAACTGCCATATTTGGCAAAAATAATACGGCAACCTTAAAAATCCATAACATAAAAATACCGACTTTTGTAAAACAGTTAGCGCGTGATTATTTTAATATTTCATAATCAACAGTAAATTATTCAAAAATATATAGTAATATATAGTTATAAAGCCGAATGCGCATTGCTGTCAAATAAAACTCACAATAGGCAAAAGAAAACGGTTTATTGCCGTAAAAAGCAAACAAACAAAAAAATACCAAATAGTGCAAAGGTGTAGTGATTGGATAAAATGCCAAAACTTGTGCGGCAACGTACGAATTGTGTTGCCTGCAGTTGAAAAGTGTGAAAAAGACGCCATTTGAGTTGACTTTGAATACATGTTTTTAAAAACTGCCAATAGCCTGTGCCTGTGCTAACAACAATAGTAAACCATTAAAAGAACAAAAAACCAAAAACTAAAACAATGCTGCCCGCCAATCTGGGCGCTGCAAATGTGAGCCAAGGAAAACGGGAAGTGCCCATTACCATGTCGCCAGTAAAACCGGGCAACAACAGTGGTGTCTCTGGCGGCACACTGACGGCAAAGGCAACAAGCAAGGCGCCCGAGGAGCTGCGCTATTTGCCCATTGCCACAATGCCCACCAAGCCCTGTAATATAACAATAAGCAGTTATAAAACGAATAATAATAATTGTTCTAAAAATATGAACAACAATGCGGCTGCAATTAAGACCAAACTGACACCAATGAATATTGTACAAAAACAATTGAAAGCCAGCAACAATAATAATAATAATAATAGTAGTAATAACAATATAACTGCAGCAGCCCCGCCACTCATACAATTGGTTGCCAACAGTTCCAATGGCAATGCCAACTCGCTGCTATCCATACTGTCGCCCAAAACGCTCATCAAGCCCGCTAGTAATAATAGCAATGGCCAGGCTACGGCTCAGTCGCAAACACAACCTGTGCTCATACGACCGGCCACCACGATGACCACAATTCCTGTACAGCAGCAAAATGGTGCCAATCACAACAGCAATAGCTCGGGAGCAGCAGCAACAGCAGCTGCAGCAGGCACTGTGGCACCATCTCACTTGATATCGCTGGTGGCCGCCAAAACACCTAGTAAAACGGGTAAGTTTTCTTCTTCTTCATTTTTTTTTTTTTTTTTTTTTTTTGAGAAGTTATATTGGGCAGTACTTATATAATAATACTACTAATAAATAAACTGTGTGCTGTCTTCTGTGCTGTTGCGGCTTCGGTACGATTCGATATCGGTTTTGCTTTTCAATTCAATTTTTGCTTTGGGCACAGTCGCTGCTGCTGCGAGTCGCTCATTTAGTTATTGTCGCTGGCCGCGTTGGAATAAATGTGTGTGTGTGTGTGTGCCTGTGTGTGTGCGGAGTCTCTTATTATTACTATTATACACATAGTATTATTGTTGTTGCCGTTGCTGTTGCTCTATTATCGTTGTTGTTGTTGCTGCCGTCATTTAACTAGCATTGTAGCTGCTACTTAACGACTTAACATATTTTTATTTCATAATATTAATTAGTTTGAGTACGAAAATAAGTTTCATGTGGCTATTTTGAGATTTATATAGTTCACCAATTGGTTTTGCTTTATATACATAATTTTATTGTTGTTTCATTCAAATCAAATCGATTGACAAATCATTTAATAGAAATATGTCTTTTGTTTAAGCTGATGTCACAATTTTATTTGGCAGTTTTGAAGAGGCTAAAAGTCACTTGTAAATAAAATACTTAATTTTATGGTTGTTTATCAACGTTATGTGTGTACGACATTTATATATATATATATATGTGTATATATATATATATATGCAAAAGTCGCGGGCGGGCGTGCACAGGCTATGACGATGATCAGGTTTTTTGCAGCTGCAGCTGCCTGAAGAGAGCGAGAAAAAAGAAAACAATTAAATGAGAAAAAGTGCTGCGAGGACAACGCTTAAGTTTGAATTTGCAACTTAATTAGGAAATATTTTCGAGGCCTAGCTGCCTTTGCCTTTGAGCTGCAATGTGACTCACATTTTTTAACCAAAAACAACAATTTTTTTTGTTTTTTTTTTTTGTTTTTTATCACAATATAAATGTTTATACACGTAGAATAAATGCAAGTGTATTTGTACATACATACCATTTTTGTTTTTTTCTGAACATTTATTGTATAATGTGCATTTCTTTTTTGTTTTCTGTTTTCAGCTGCTGTTCCAGCTAGCTCTGCCGCTGCCCAAATTTCATTGCTTTCAAAGTCTCGTACTCCAGTTATATTGAGCAAAGCGGCCGTGGAGAAAATCCGTTTGAAATTTGGTCAGGTGCAGGCGCAGGTAAACGCCGGTGCGCTGTTTTTAACTAAATCGATCAAGACCAGCGGCACCAATACCAACAATACCAGCAATTCCAACAACAAAAGCGGCAATTCTAGGCCAGCTCAGGAGACAGCAGGAGCAACGCAACCGGCAGCACAAAAGCCCACGGGCGTTGTGGCCACTTCCACATCAATGCCCACGCCAATGCCTGCGCCCATGCCTACGCCCATGCCCGCGCCCATGCCTACGCCTATGCCCTTGCCCATGCCCATGCCCAGCAATGCTCTGCCAGAGATCAAGATCAGTCCGGTGTCTGCCGTCGCTCTGAATGGTGCCAAAATCATGAAAGTACAGGCCAGCCCGTTGGCTGTGATTATGCCAACAGTGCCAGCGCCAGCGCAAGCTCCAACAGCAACAACAACAGCTACAGCCACAATCGGGCAACCAAGTGTGCAACAGGGTTCACCCAAGCTGCAGCGCTCCAAGTCGTTGGCGGGCAATGAGGAGAATGCGGCTGTCATATTAATACAAAGCAATGCCACAGAGCGGCGACATTCGGTAGCCATTATGGCCAAGGAAGTGGATGTCGTGGAGCAGACAAAGCCCATCGAAACCATAACCATAGAAGACGATGATAGCGATGAGGAAAAGGAGGCACAGATCAAACAACAGCAGGCAAAAAGGCAGCAGCAGGCACAAATTATGCAGCAGCAGCAGAAACCACAACAGCAGCAGCAACAGAAAACGCCCACAACATCTACACAAACATCGAGAAAAAACTCAACAGCCAGTCGGAGCAGCATCACCAGCAGCAGCAGTAGCGATGTGGAAATGATCATTATGCCGGAGGAGGTGCGGCCTAAGCAATTGGAAACAAAGCAACCAGCCAATGGCGCCATAATAAATATTGTTAAGGCTGAAACGCTGTCGCTCTCCAAGGAGGAATTTGAGACATCGCTGCGTTGCGATGAGCACGTGGACAACAGTTCGCCCTCTTCCGTGTGCACTAATCACACCTCAAAATCGGGCACCATCACGTTAACGCCCATTTCCCGGCTGCAACATAATGGCGTGGAGCCAAAGACGGGCGCTGCTGTTACATTAAACACTTTTAAGCGTAGCATGCAACAGCATTTCGGTATGCTGCGCTGGCGAGAGAAACAACCGGGCATGCTGCAGAATTCTACAATGCGCTTCGAGCTTAATCGCTACAATTTGCTGCAGTTGGCGGAGCGCTGCGATTCGCGTCAGGGTCCCGCCAGTTACTTTGAGCGCGCGCTCTTCGATCGTCCCG